AGAGAGACACAGGATTGGCTGAGGCCAGGTGGTCCAATATGTCTGCGCCCTAATCCGACGCCACACCACACCACACTACACAGCGTATGCATCGTAATGCCCAAGCTTTTCTTCGATCCATCGAACCGTAATTGTTTGGCTGCTCTAGCTGCAGCGAACAGAATCAAGGGTGTTGAAGTCGTGAATCGTATTTCTCAAAAAGGTTTGTTAGAGTAGTATTTATGTTTCGTGTAGCCTCCGATGGAGCTGTTTTGGAAACCAGCCGAGGTGTGCTCAATTCAGTGAATGCCATTGTCTGGTAAGCTGTCAATCCTGGTTACACTTCCGTTCAAGCGTTTTACTTGGCGTAGATCCGCTAGATTCTGAACTGAACGCTTTTCTTATATGGGAAGCAACTGTGTTGAAGGTATTTTCCTATGTCGACTGATTTTGTGTAGCCGGCGTTGAATCGTATGGTCCATAGTAATATGGAGGAAGCTGAAGTGCTATTTGATGAGCTCCAAAAAAAGCTTGAGATCCTTGAAAAAACTACTTCCTCTCTTAACAACTTGGCAGCTAAATTGGTCATATGGGCTGATCTATCACTCATATTTTCAGACATTGGTTATTTGTTGTTTTTTTTTACCGTATTTGAACAGGGCCAAGACAACTGAGCTATCTGTATTCTTTGGTGAAGACTTTAGACTCAGAAGAAAGCTGTTCAAGGGCTCTTAGTTATTTATCTCAAAAGGCTTTGCATAAAACGGTACGAATTTCATTTTAAGTCCTGCCATTAATACTTATATAAATAGTTGATATAATTGAAAAGTTAGCTTGGATTTTTTCAGCTATTTTGAAGGCCCGATGTTTGTTTTAGGAGTCAGATTCTAAGCGATCAACTACAAGCATGGTAAACAAGCCTCCAACCAGTCATCGTAAACAAAAAACCAGAGCACCAGTTCACAATGACGACGAGGGGCTTCTGTACCCAGAAATTGAGGTTTCACCGGAGCAAATGCTCAAGGCTCAGTGGATATTTTCTTCAAGTAAAGACAGCACAAATAATGCAAGTTTTACTAATCGAAAAGAGAAGATGTGAGTTGGTCTACGTGTTTTCATGTCAGAGGGCCATCCGCCAATTAACCTATTGTATGCTTTTTAGATTACCTTTAAAAAAGGCTGAAGGTGTTCGAAATATCCTAATTACTTCCGCTTTGCCATACGTCAACAATGTTCCCCACTTAGGGAATCTGATAGGGTCTCTGCTGAGTGCGAATATCTTCGCTATCTACTGCGAAACAGCGGGTTATAATGTTCTCTCTATTTGCGGAACTGACGAATATGGGACAGCTACTGAAGCAAAAGCTCAGGCTGAGGGTCTAACGCCCCAACAGATAACTGATAAATATCACGCTCTTCACTGCCAAGTATATGATTGGTTTGACATCCGCTTCGACTACTTTGGACGGACGTCCACTCCGATTCATTCCGAGTAGGAATTCAGACTTCATTTACATCACCATCAAACCCAAAACTCTGTGGTCTTTCATTTGTGGTTTTAGCATTACTCAAAAAATCTTTTGGGATTTGTATAACAATGGCTTCGTAACTGAGGCTTCGATTGAACAGCTCTTTTGCGGGAAGTGTGCACGATTTTTGGCGGACAGGTTTGTGGAAGGAATGTGTCCATTTTGTAAATCTGACCAAGCAAGAGGTGATCAGTGTGATGCATGCGGAAAACTGATAAACGCTGTAGAGCTTATAAGGCCTAAATGCATCACATGCGGCTGTTCGCCGTCGGTTCAAACCTCGAACCACCTCTTCCTCGATCTGCCCAAGGTGGGTTAAGTAACTTATCTGATTTATTTTAACACTTGTAGTAATGTCTCTCAGCGCTAATAATTGACCTTGGTAGTTCTCATAAAGTTCTTAATGCCACTGCCATTTCGCCTGCTGTATGTAGACGCCTTACTTGATTAACGTTGTTAAAAGCTTTCACGGAGGACTGGTACTATTGCGACATGCATTTAGATTATCGGATTTCTCACGGAAATCAGCTACAGATGTCAACAACTCGTGCTCTATAGTATCACATTGCCCACATCCTGTTTATCTGTCTTTACACGTGGATTATCACACTAGAATGCTTATGTTTACTCCTTTTCAACTTGGTAATCCACTTACTTTAATAAGCTACCGGTTGATTTATTTGGCAGCTGGAGGAGCGGGTCGCCGCCTTCTGTAATGAATGTATGGATAATCCTGACTGTAATTGGACGCAGGTAGCGCAGAGCATTACCCGAGCCTGGCTGCGCGATGGTCTCAAACAGCGTTGCATTACTCGCGACCTCAGTTGGGGCGTGCCTGTCCCTCTGGCTAACTTTGAAAACAAGGTCGGTTCTTGTTGCTTTTAATAGTGCTTGGTTTTGGAATATCTTCCGCTATTTTATGATATTCTACTTAATCACACTCAATTTGTTTGTCTTGTCGATAGCTGGTAGGGTCACGCTATCGCACTATCGTTGTTCTAATTAATTTAAACGACATCAGTTGGGTTGTGAGGAAAATGGACCTGGTAAAACAAAGAGAGGAAGATCACCGCACATAAAATCGCACTCAGAATGGATCATATTAAATGTTAAATAAATAAATAAATTTTTCAGGGTAGTTCGTACGGTACTTCTAACGGGAACTATCTCGATTTTGGATGATTTAATCAAGAAGCCATAGCGTAACAGTGAACATGATCGTGACTAGTGTGGCTGAGGCGACGATGTGGGAGTTCGCAGGACGGCTTGATAGCCAAAAGATGTATCCTTCGCTTTGTTTTCTGCCAACCTAGGTCTTCTACGTGTGGTTCGATGCTCCGATTGGGTATATGTCGATTACAGCTAACTACACGGATGAATGGCGTCAATGGTGGCTGCCCTCAGATGATGTTGCGCCCATCGAATACTTCCAGTTTATGGCAAAGGACAACGTGCCTTTCCATGCCTCTATCTTCCCGGCTTGTCTTTTGGGAAGTGGCAAGAAGTTTACTCTAGTAAAGAACCTTATTGCTACGGGTAAAGTCGTCCAAATGATTTTCATTTTTTGTGAATTCAATTGATCAGGATTTGGTAGGCTAATGATCGGTGTCAAAGACCCTGCTGACAAATCCTCAGGTTTCCTAAAGGATTGGGGTTTTTTTCTTTTGATGCGACTTTTCCGTGAAAGATGGTATAAGTGGATTAATTCTACTTTATCAAATTTTCGCAAAGTGATTGAAGTCACAAAGAGTACACGCCCGTCTGTACATTAGAGGTTCTGCTGTTGATGTTTTCTGGACACGAACAATTGCTTTCTTGGAAATTATGAAGGCTTTTGTTAATTTATTGTAGAATACTTGAATTTCGAGGGAAAGAAGTTCTCTAAGAGTCGAGGGGTCGGTGTTTTTGGAAATAATGCAAAAGACAGCGGCATTGAATCGAACGTCTGGCGGTTCTATTTGGCTTATATCCGCCCTGAAACTCAAGTAATAATTTTTAAAATGATGTGCTTTATTTGTTCGTGATTAATTTCAGTTTTGGTGTCTTTAGGACAGTACATTCTCTTGGGATGACTTTGCAATGAAAAATAATTCAGAACTGCTCAACAATCTGGGAAATTTCATTAACAGGTAATGAGTCTTCAAAATGCCCCATTTTTCTACATTTGATAAACGAGATCGCGTTCCTTAAGTACCTCTAATATCGGTACCGACTGGGATCTTTACCTTTGAGTTAAACTAATTATTAACAATTATCTTTACCAACCTATAGTTACTGAGATCCAGTTGAAATTTACGTTGTCGGAACTGACATTGTACGAAGCTATACCAGACTTTCGGTAGTCTTTTCTGCATTTACAAACCCCCAATTATAAAACATGGGCACACGGTTACCACCAATGGTTCGGATTCTTTCCTTTAGACCTTTGGCGTTTCTGTTCAAATTCTTCCAATCGACGGTACCGAGCATGAAGAATCTCCAGCCGGATGACGTGGCGTTCCTGGCGCGGGTTAATGCACTTCTGAGCGAGTACCTCGATCACATGGAACACTGTCGCCTGCGTGAGGGTGTTCGTTCAATGCTCGCTATCTCTCGTCTCGGCAATGGCTATATGCAGGCACAGAAACCCTGGGTTTTGTATAAGTCCCCGGATACTATGTAAGTTCTTGTTCATACCAAATTCCTATCGCCAGCACTCTATTACATGCGAGGGTAGATCAACGTCTCTAGAAGAGTAGACTTTTGTTATCTGTTTAGGTTGAATAGAGCTCCTTTGGGACTTTTCTAATTTACAGTCTGAAATATCTTTCGCCATCTGAAAGCCACTTTTGGTCACACCGAAATTTAATTAGACTTGTAAGTCTCTTGTTAGGAAAGTTAAAAAAAACCGAGGTGTAAAATAATTTTTCGGTAGAATACATCTATCAGTTTTTGTAACTGTTTTGGGGCGTGGCACGGTTTTTATTTTCATCAGGTTGGGACACTCAAGATACCTTCCCACTAGTTTTCATAGATTGTGTTTTTTTTCCATGAAATCACCGAGAATGACTCCGTCAGAATCAGGAAACTAGGGTTTTCATTTCTTGGCTTTTGTCTTGGGTTTCTTTAACTCATTTGTTCCGTTAGGCAAATATCGTTTAGACTAGATTTGCTTTTGGGATCAAACTGATGTGTCCTAATTTTACACCTAGCTACATTTTTTTCGAGGATCTGCGGTTTCAGTCGTAGAACTCTCGAAGGACGGTGTCATCTTCTCTGCAGAAGTCTTTTGCACAAGTGCTTTTGGCTCCCGCCTTTTTGCTAACTTATTCAGACCTGGATTTTCTGTTGGGCTGGCACACGTTAAACCACAAAATATGTTAGCAAAGCTAATAGCACCAGCTGTTGTATTGGGATGGTCAAGTTCCTCCAGACTCTAACTTACAATATTTTAAGTGTTGTGTCTTTCCTTTTGCTGATTGTAATCTTTTTTTTTCAACTCCATAGGTCTCTATCCGTTCGTAGACTTTTTGTTGGGCAGATTTATCGCTAACACATCGTAATGTTTAAGTTACTTCTCATGGGTCCAAAAAGCGGTTATCGAGAGCTTTCCGGCCTACCTCGTCAATATAGCAATCGAGGAACTACCGCTCGCACCAAAATCCAAGCAGTCCAATTTCGTTGGTTTGACGAAGCAGCTGGTCTGACACGCTTAGCATTCCTTCAAAACCGGACAAAAGCCGTGGCTTTGCTGAAGTACCATATCATCCTTCCATGACATTGAACCCAAACACCCAATTAATGGAACATGTCGAAACTTACTTCGCCATTTAAAAGGCCTTGTATTCTTTAGGATTTTCACTGTTATAGACACTCAAATCCTGCATACAGCGTATTAGTCTTCGCATTAAATTGGTCGGCTCTGTACTCCCTAAATAACAATTTTGCGTGCCGTTTTAGTGAGAGAGCTGGTGTCGTAGTTGGTGTTGGTTGCAACATTGCCGCTCTTCTGGGTCTTCTCTTGCGGCCATTTATGCCCTCCGTCTCTGAGGAAATCTTTATCCAATGCAAAATGCCAGACTCGCATCGAAGCCTCGCCCCCATTGTTGCCAACGGTGGTCACGTCACCTGTCTCTTACCAGAGGGTCATATCATTGGAGTGGTTAGTCTGTCCATCTTTGCTTAACTGTTTTAGTCTACTTGAATACTCCCTTGGGATCCCTGCAAGCCATTTACGTGACATTAATGTGTACTGTACTGGCTTCCCAACTCAATCAACAAATGTCTTTCTAATGAGTTGATACAGAAGAAACGTCTCGACGTGTGGTTTAATGCTGCCATATCGGATGCACATTAATTCAAGTATCTGCCTTGTTTCCTTTTAACTAGCGCCCAACAACTCAACAGTTTCGAGACACAAGTTTCCGTGTGAACTTAATGGATTTCCCGAGTTAATTGAGTTTTGGGCGTGTTACCTCCGTCCGCGTATCATCGAATACATTCGATTAATAACGTCGACTTATTCCTGAAAAGCATCTGCATTAGATCCGAAATTAATGCGAACTGAACCCACACTTTCTTCGTTGCATCACAATAACGATTTGACGCCTTATCAAAGGGCAGTATGTGTAGAGATTCACATGAGATGGTTTTATATCCATTTGAATCGTCACAACTTCGAATCAGATCAACGTTAAGTTATTAACTCCAGATATCCTTTAGGAATAAAAAAACAAACTGTATAGTGCTATGAAATTTGTGTCAGGTTCTTAAACAATGCCACGTATTTTGAAGGCGTCAGCATTCCCGAAGACTGTCCTTGGCATACTTGAAATTTTTGAACCGTATACAAAGTTCCTCTAATTATACCACCTCGTTTGGTCACTGCATTTCGAAAGGCCTCCAATGACAGCCCCATTTGAGTTCATTCCCCTTGACCCCTCGCCTAATTCAAGCCAAGGTTGCCCATGGCAGGCATAAGTGGACGCATTCGGACGTGTTGTTCGGTCTTTGGCTGAGTCAGTAAAACCTCTGCCCGAGGTCTTGTCATAGTCCTGGCACTGGAAAGTTGGGGCTTTGTGTCATGGTTCTCTGGGTGTTTCCTGCTACTGACAAGGCGTAAAATGCGCAAAATCTACGTTTTGCTTGAAACACATTTCGGTCATGACAAGTCGATTATAAGTAATTGTTCACTAAATGCCACAGAAGCGGGTAATCGGTTTACATCTTTATGTTTTGGCCCAGTGACTGTGTTGTCAGACTATAACCCCAGGTTTGCGGAAAAGGTGGTGGAGTCGCAATCGTTTAATAAACGGACAAAACTAGTGTTCTTAATCGTGTTCGCGAGTGTTTATTTATTAATTTAGAAGCGTGAAGTATGTGTAAACAAGGGGATTAGTGGGGGTTTGTTTCTGCGTGTAACGATAATCTGAGATAAACATTTGCGTTAATCGGGTATGGACGCCGACCTAAGGCAGCACGTTTCCGCTGGGGGTCTGCGGAATCGATTATGCTCGAAAGGTGAACCCGGACGATTCGCCACACAACTGCTAGCATCGCGTGAAGTCCAACTTTTTTAAAAACAACTATTGCTCTGCTAATTCCAAGCTTAGGTTTCTGATCATTGTTGGATTGCCTGAAAGTAGGCAGCTACTTTGCATTGGTTGAATTTTCTGGTATATTTAATTATTATTCGGTAATATGATATTTTACTCGTTTATTAGAGCAATTAGCAATGTCTTTACTGGTCTCGTAGACTTCAGACACATGGAAGGTATTGGTAGGATACTAGCACTGCTTCATTTTATAACCAAATTTAATTAAGTTTGTATTAATACTCCTTTTCTTTCGTTTTAGCCGAATCCATTATTTAAAAGGATTGAACCTGCGGATATTCAACGCCTGCGTAAAATGTATGACCCTTTACCATAAGGCGTTTTCGTTCCTCGTTCTGTTCCTCAATCCCAGTGGCTTCACTTAGAACTATGCATAAATTGTATAGCAGGTTTATATTTTGTCGCAGCTAGGACTTGGTACTTGATTGAAGTTCTACTGAAGGTTTTCGAAGGCAGACTAATGTGGGGTGTGATTGTAAGCACATACAAGAATGTGACTGTGGCTTTTATGTTAACCACAGCATTGGTGGCGATTCGTTACTGAAGTATTTACACTTCTCGCTAACTCGTGAAACATATATTTCGGCCGTCGATAACACAGATGTTGCAAAACTTTTGAATAGAACCAACTATTAGGGTTTGGTATCGCATCAAACGGTTGGTCGAAATACCAGCTCGGTTTTCCTGCAGAGTTTGCTAGACCAAGCGACATTAAGGTGCTGTTATTTTGAACAATTAATAAATCTTGGTTAACGGTATTTTTCTAGTTTTGGGGGGATTTCTGAGTAGGTGTGGCTTAAGATTTCCCACTGGTGATGTTCAGCGATTGAGTTGCTTCTCTCGCATAGAGCTTCAGTTGTTTCTTTTACGACCAACATGGTGGCTGCACTTATGGTCCAGCTTCAAATCACCCGTCAGAGCCACCTCCGAAATTCGGCTACCAGTCACTGATAGTGAGTCATGCGTGGTTGAGTGCTTGAAGGAAACCAGCTCTGTGGTTTCTAGAATAAAATCAAACATGAGCGTAATATTTGTATTACAATTTCATGTCCATAGATCATTTTACCATATCAAAAATCAGGCTTAGGAACAAGTTTTTATGGCAAGTGGTTAATTAACAATCTGTCTTGGGGTTGGATGCTAGTGATGCGTAAGCATCCAGTGTCACAAGTGGTTTATTTTAGAGTATTTTAATGAACAGTATCTGTGATCAGTCAGGCTGGAGAGGTGAAAATTTATAACATTAGAGTGATATAGCTCGAATATTTTCTGTATATATAATCGCTTATAATTGGCATTGATTTTCTTTAATTATGAATATGCATTAACCGTGGATGATTATACTGAGTACATCATTTAGCAATTGTCTCCAGTCACAAGTATTGTAAACATGTGCGAATATGTATGAAATTACATGTCCGAGAATTTTGTACACAGGAACTAAAATAGGAGAGAAGTCAAATGTCAATTCCGGTTTATTTTTATTTCATTATCAGACAGGGCAGATAGCGAGCAAATTAGTAAGACAAAATTTAAGATAATAGAAAAATCTAATGATTTTTTTACCCCAAAAAAATCTTAGTGGGGAAAATTGAATAACAAGCCATTATGATTCTAATTTGCTCAATTAACATTTTATTCGCCTATATTCTGCAATTTCAACATTAAATTAAAATCCAAAGTAACAAAACTGTTACAGCATAATCGAACTAGTTTATTCAATAGGGTTTTTGATTTTTGTATTTCCAAAAAATACCCATTATTAAATTAATTTTTTGGTCATTTGAATTTGTTGGGGGCACGAACTAACATTATCTACAATAAAACTGTTGCTAAAAAAATTCAATAATTTATGCGTCTATTTTTGTACTTGCGGGATAAAATGCGTTTCTGTACAGGCGAGGTGATTTTGGGTGATTAAAAACTGAACGCATTCACAAAACTAGTAGCTTAACACAATATTTTGACTGAAAAAAGTGCAAAATTTTAAAGGGGTTTTTGAATATTTTTGTCATGAAATTGATATTCTACGCAGAAAGTAAAAAAACTGCTTTAGTTCAAAAGATATTTAAAAAAATAATGTCAACTTATACGGGACCCAACGCTTAATTATAAACCGTTTAAATACAAAAAAGTTTGCTTTAGAGACGTGACAGACGCAATTATTGTTATTTTGCTAGTGGATACCAATTTTGACGAGCAGTTTCGTTTAAACATGATGTTACATGCTTAAATACAGACAGTTGCGCAGAGGCTATTCACGGGACATTATTCACGTGGAGTTGCTGAGGTCTTTTCATTTATTCATATTGGATATATTGCCTTGACAAAATACTGTTGTCATTCGTGAGTTACTACAATCTAATTTACAGACCTCTAAGCCTATTTTCTATAAATAAGGGGAAGTCTTGTGGATTCCTTTGCGTCACCCATTCGAATTTGCAGAAAGCAATGTTAAACACCCGAACCATAGTATTATGTAAGAAGTTACTCTAAAGAATTTTTATATATAAAAGAAGCCATAATTGGTTAACAGACATCATTTATTTGAGCCAACAGAGCGTACTACGCCACTTTTTATATTCTGGTTATAGTTCATCTTTGTCTCCGTTTCGGTGTTGAAATACGTTATCCATTCAAACGTACGAAGACAGAGAATTGGCGAAGCTTGGCAGGGCTTAACATACCTGCAGTTTTTTAATAACCAACAGTGGAATACCTAAGTTCATTTTTAGGTACAACAGAGCAAGCTAGAACAGCAAGATAGTCGTTGCCCCTCCGACTTACCCATACTAGTGCTTACCAACCCTCGCCACTAGTTGGTTGTAGATCTTCCTCTCAGGCCTTTTAAGCATCCATAGTGTGCACGCAGATGACGTCAGCTGTTTGGTAATTGTAGAATATCCTAACCCAAGTGTGAAGACTGGTAAAACCGACAGGCTCAACTGACCAATCACAAGCCAGAACACTGAACGTCAGGCGCAGTACATCCAAGTCCACCACTCTGACTGCGCCGATCACTATACACAGTTTCTCATTCTTGTCTGTCCCTGGTTTGCCGTATGTCTTATTCACATGCCATTAAAAAGCAGAGAGACAGGGGATTCGCTAAGGTTGACGTGTACAATATGTCTGCGCCACTCTACATTACTAATGTAGAATACCCGAGCCCTAATAGGAAGAAGACTGGTACAACAGAACGGGCTTAACTGTCCAATCAAAAGCCAGAGCCACATGTCAGGCACATTCCATCCGAGTCCATCACGCTGGCCTCGTCGCTCATTATATACTGCACCTCATTCGTGTCTCGCTGGTTGGCTGCTTATCTTCCTCGCATGCCATTGGAACGCAGAGAGACACGCGATTAGCTGAGGCCAGGTGGTCCAACATGTCTGTGCCCTAATCCGACGCCACAATTCCTCTATGCGCGGAAACGGGTAATGTATTTATCTGTCGATAAAAATATAAATAATTGCACATGTAACAAACATGGCCTTATAACACTTAATCCAATTTTTAAAGCGGCTCATTGTGGGTAAGATATATTACAGAATAACTGTCAGTAAACTTA